GCAAGATGTTTGAGCAGTTCATCATCCCAAGCTGGAATAGCAAAGATAGATGATGGTCAATACAGGCTAAATAAACCGTCCACACCCGGCTTTGCTAGCTGCCTCTTACAGTACTCCATAATCTGATCTGGTGGCAGATCAAAAAGGCTGTCATACAGGTTCACCACATCATCGAGTAACGGATCTCTGCAATAATGTTTGTAGATCAGTAAAATTCATGCGTAGCGATCAGTCTTCGGCGTTTAGGGCATAATTTTTCTCAGTGAACTCCCAGAGAACTTCCACTACCATGTCATATCATGAGTTTGTCAGGAAAGCTGCGGAAATGCGGATGCTGCGTTGAAAAATGTGCACATGTGCGGCATTCGCACCATGATTCAAAAGCACGTCCTGCGATATTATGATCCGTACTGCGGCACGAATACTAATAACAAGATAGAAAGAATTTCAGTATCGAAGAAAAAACCTCCTGGAATGCTTTAAACAGGATACTCCGCTCCCTCCATTCCCACTCCTCCATCTTCCCCCCCCCCCCCCGATACCATATTATCATCAGCTCTTTCCCCTTAGCGCCTCACTCGCACCATCAGGATTAAAAGAGTTAGGAACAACCGCACAATCAGGTATCAGGTAGAAATAAATGTGGGGGTCGCCGTGACCAATGGGCGCAGTCAAGAACTGTCGCGAGCAGGTCGCGCCTTGCTAACGCATTTTTGAGCTGCTGAATCAGTATATCCTTCATGCTTGCATCCAGGACTACCACATCCAAAAATGCACCTGAACATCCATGGGCGCAGGGCGTGCTTTTGAGAGTAAGTAAAATGCAGGGAATAGTAGAGGCCAAGCAACAAGTCTGTTCAAACGAATAAGTTGCCAAAATTTGAATTTCTTCCTATGCGAGTCCCATATATTAGAAACAAAGGTCATTCAAAAAACCACTTCCTACCGTGAAAATCGAATCAGCGCCTCAACGACTATACGAGAGTTGCGTACAATGGCACTAGATGGTTCGTTGAACTGTTCTGCGGCAACTGCGATAGTACGGATATCCTGATGTAGAGATTTGAGCCGTCTGAAAAGCATATTTCATGACTGTTAAATATTGAGAGAATGAGCCCTGTTAACCTTGGTCTCACCTATAAAAACCACTACGGATTCTATTCGCAATTGTATCCAAATCGATAGGATAGTCGATGTTGGCGGCGTAGTGTGGGAACGCTTCTAGACTGACCGGATAGGCGAACGGTTCAACAGTATCACGGACACTTAACTTCACTATCGCATCAGCCATACGAGCACAGCATAACTGTAGAAATATACTTTTAAAGGGGCGGCTGAATAAACAGCACACTACCAACAAAAAATAAACAATCGTCAATTCAAAAGGTCATGAAAATGGATACAGTATAGTGAGTTTAGCCTTCTGTATAAAAGGGTCACGACATGACCCTCCAGGCTGTCAGATGAAAGTAAACAGAATCAGATGGATACCTCCTTCGCTTCGACGGCCCCACGAAAATCTGACTCGGGCCAGTCACCATCTGGTTCGAAAAAGGCGTAGGCGAGGTGATCCGCCTCAGTAGCTTCGTCACCTTAAAAGGAGGGCATGGTGTTATGAGTGATTTTTACAAGTACAAATCTCACTAAATTTTTCTTACCTGACTTTCTCGATCCTGATCTAGGTTGGCAATCCCATGGGCTCATCACATCTTCTTCACCAGAATCCCAGATGATGCGTAGGCAAAACCACAGCGAACTATAAATAAAGGCGTGTGCATGACATTTGTTATTTTACTGGAACGCGAATCAGAAAACGACCAACAGCCATCCCAGCAGAAAAATATCGCACGAGAATAAGGGCGCGGAGGGGAGGGGGGAAGGGCTTGCAGCGAGGAGACTGATCTCGTCAGGGCCCTCAGAGAGCACAGAGTGGGTCTTTACCTCCTGCCCCTCGTCTCCCAGCCCTTCAAGCACCGAAAAATGAATTTGCAACTTTACCTTGCATGTCCAAGTTTCTCGATATATTCTCAGTGTTCATACAACGATTCTCAAGCTTCCCACGTTATGAGATCGAAGCTTTACCTTGGGAACTCTTCCGATTTCGGTTCTTTGCGATCCACTGTTCCAGTCCACCACTGTCCATCCAGTATCGCTTCAATCCGGTCACCTTCTTGTAAATTTTGCGCAACCGACAGGTCGTAATGTTGTTTCAGGATAATAAAATCAGGTACGTTGGCAAGATCATGAAACCTAGAATTGCTCTTTCATGAATTGCCACAATTTTTCATTTTAGTAAGAAGGAATTAAGGCCTACTTAACACTCCACGAGACACCCGTACGTTGACCATCGCGATCTGTTTGTGAAAGGCGCACTACCGTCAGCCGATAGGGTTTCCGCACATACCTCACCTCATCCACAATACAATACTCTTCCGCACCAAGGGATGGCCTAAATGCGAAATTCAAGAACTTCATAGAGAATCAAAATAACAAACTCCCAAAAGGTCAACTCACTTTGGTCTCATCTTTGAACTGATAGGATACAGATTGATCGCCTCGACCCTTTCCAGATACATTTCGTGACCTTGCCGAAAATACACAACATGATCACCAAGTTGGGCAATGTATGGAAACCGGCGAGGTTCGGTCATTCGCATCCAATCCGGGAAGGAGTCTAGGTAGCTATCTGAAATACAAATCTGCTTTCCGATACAATTTCCATGACAAAACATTCGAATTCTAACGCGCTCTGTTAAAGAAAGAAACTGGTTAGGAAAGCGAATTTTGCCGTACGGCACATAAATTTCGAAAGAAAATGAAAAAGCATAGGATACTTCTCGGTCCGTTACGCCACGTTCAGGAAGAAGAAGGGATCATTCAACAACCACTATTCTATTGAACGAATGCCATTCATTCGCTGGTTCAGCGGGTCTTAAATTGCTCCCATACAACTCCCAAAAAGACGCAGGAGGCTGCGTAGTGCGGCTTCACTTCAGCGGAACTAGCACCAGGACTTGATTCAACGCGGAAGTCTTGAAGTAACTCGAGTCGACTAGCCAAAAAAACTCCTTCAGTTGGCTCTCGGGAACAATGTCTTCATTCCACCTGGCGGCTCGAATCACTGATGTACTCGCTCCCCTTCTTATATTGGGCCCAAAAGGGGCCAGAGCAACAAAAGCAAAACGGGAGCGGGTACTGCAGTCACGGCACATCATCCGTTTCACGCTCGTTGTACTCCCTAATTTTCTCCCTAGGTACGACCCCTACCCTCTCACTACCTACCAAACATTTCCTCACTTTTGCCACTGAGCAGAGAGGGGGAGGGACAAGCATGATACGAATAAATGCGACCCTGCGTCGTGATTTTTCAACGGAAGAAGTGCTGCACGGGTCGACTGGCTGGACGTTTCAACAGACACATCGACAGATAACGTCAGACTGTTGATTGCGTGCAGAAAATAGGATATTTTCCAACGACGGTACTGTAGCTAGGAAATTCTGGTAACCCAGGATTATTACATGATTGCGGAATGTCGGTGCTCTTTTGCAATTACCAGCTATGAGCGGAAAGAGAGCAAAGAACATGAACATGAATTTGTCAATACCTTTCTTTGGCCGTGGACGACTTGGCTTCTTCACTGGCTGGGCAGTATCAGAAGTTGACGGAAGATCTGTCGCATCTGTTTCATCTTCTTCGAATCCGGGAGAGCGCATTTCTGTGGCCGAAGAGTCTTCCGTTTCCTGAAAATTCAATTACTTGGAGATCGATCGGAGATGATCTGATTCTTGATCGCCATTGAAAGGAAACCATAATGAAGGCGTTAGAAACTTGAGAGAACTGAAATGCTTACAGTAATTCTAACTCGTCTTCGAGGCTCTCTAGTTCGCGCATTTTCGCTCTTAGCGCCATCTGTCCCATCTGCCCGATGAGGTCTTTGTACACGACGACCGGAGGAAGTAGTGACTTCGGGTGGTGGTACCTCTTCTTCATCATCTTCTTCCTTCAAAGTACACTTTCGAGAGTTTTTCTTTCTATTGAAAAAAAGAGGATGAGACCTTCTCTTCGTCTTTCTCCTGATTGCGATCCCTTCCTCGGACGGCATAGTCGGAGTCACTTGTATCAGAGTCCGAACTTCCATCATTTGACGAGCTTTCCGAGTTGCTTAAAACAGATAAATAAATAAATACATAAATAAGGCTTAGCACACAGGGTAGTTAAAATACCTATAGCTATCATCCAAATCACTGTGATAGTTTTCCATTTCAGCCGCAGCTCTTCTCGCATCTTGAGCAGCTATAGCTTCTTCGAGAGTTGGAGGGCGTCTTCTACGATTGGAACTAGCTCCTCGAGCAGCCATTTGAGCAGCCGCCGGAGCAGATGCTCGATACCGTGTCGCTGTTTTCCCTGAAGCTCAACCAATAATGAATATACTGGTCCCCAGTTTGAGAGTGCTCATACCAGCACGAATTTACGCAACCATTCGACTTCTATGTGCAGACAGAATTCAGATCAACCTAGCTAATAATGTTTGCATTCATTCTGGTTTAAACGAAGTGACGAAAGCCTCATTCGTTCTACAAATAGCAGCCCATAGCGGAAATTTCACTGGACATCGTACCGGTTGAAGCAGCTACTTTTCGTTTGAAGGAAGTTTAAATGAAAGAAAAATCGTTAATACTTACGTTGATAGTTTGTCAATGGAATTATAGCGTCTATCGGTTCGAGATCTGGTGCAGGCTCTTTCACCAACTCTACTTCGAACTCCTGATCTTCCAGATCCGCGAGGGCACTCATCTCCTTACAAAGAAAGAATAACAATTCGAAACCAGAAGTTCATAATTCAATGTGAATAAGAAATGGCAAAACCCTAAGTCTATTGCAGCTTGTTCTCCCCTAGAAGGAGCTATTTTCAATAATCTTCGGCTTTCATGCTACCCTTATCTTCTAATCCATCTAATACTTCCAAGCATAATGTCAAGACTTCTCCTCTATTGAATATGAATGGCGGGCTTTCTCATGCTCACCTCGCACCACAAGCTCCTCTCACTCATCGACAGAGGTGGCACAACCAAGCGATACAGCCAGACAGACATAAGCGGCTCCGACGCCCCAGCTTGGTTCTGAAATGCGTTTTCAAAAGCGCCTTCCAATGAAAATAACTGCGAGTGCAATAAACACCTTTCGAAGCAGATCCCTTCCGGGTACTGAATCCTGCCATTCATCACCAAGTGGAACAAGATCTTGATCAGTGAGAAGTGGAGGTGGAAGGAGGTGCGGAGCGATTCCTGTTGCTTCATCTAGCACCCATCCAGTATCATCCATTAGCAGCGGCCTAAATATTCAATCTGTACAGCCGTCCAAAGGAATCGAAATCAATCCATAATGATAAAACTAGTTTCCGCCATGGTCCATTTATTCTACTACTCCGCTGACATTTTGTGTCCGTTCTGTGCCATTTGAGCTCATTTGTGTTGTGTTCTCTTGAGTTGTGTTACGTTTCTGTGGTGTTTTTTGTATTCTTTTTCTTTTCTTTTCGCTCTTCTTTTAGTCCCGACCTGATTATGGTATCAAGGAATGTAGCGCACCTAGGAGTGCATATAATAAATAAATAAATAAATATCACAATCGCTTGCCACAAAACTGATTGGCACCCGGGCTAAAACGTCCTAGATACCATAATCAGG